TTGCAAGCCGGAGCTGCCTTTGCAGCCAGGGTATTCGCTGCCGGGGCGAGTCCCGGGGGTGATAGGAAGGTGCATCTGTGCCGTGTCCAGCCGCGCTGGGATGTTGCTGGGATGGCTGCCTAAGCACCGAAGTTCACTCCGCGCCCATGGATTTTGCCTTCCTGGAGACGGCATCGCTCACACGGTGAGCGGCGACGGTGCAGCACGAGACACGTGTGGGCAGAGGGGCTGGAGGCAGCTGCCTGCAGCCCAGCTGAGCATCTCGCTGCAACCCCCGGGGGAAGCAATAGGGCAGCGCGGCCCCGCAGCCGTGTCTGCCTCGCCTCGTCCCACGCCGGGTGGCAGCAGCCACGCGGGAAAGCGGCTTGTCATCGGGGCGCTGGCGTGTTGTCGTCCCGTGCTTGGAAACCTGGCGGTGCCCCCATCTCGGTGGCTGTTCCTGGAAGGTGCCCTGGGTCAGGGGGAGATGGGTGCTCTCGGCCCTTCCGGGAGGGCTCCGCTGGCACGGAGTGACACCGGGAGACCCCGGGATGTTCCTCCCTCGGGACGGAAGGGAGCGGGGTGGTGCCGGGTGCTTGCACACTCAGGCACGTCCAGTCCAGGGCTCTCAAAGTACCGAGCTGCCTTTTAATTAGTTTTGTGCCACAGGAGTTGGAGAGCTCTAATTAAGAGGAGGATTGTGCATTATGACACTGCTGGCTCTTCCCTTCCTTTTCTGCAGGCGATGGGGCGAGGAGCGAGGCTGCGTGGGGAGCCCCAGCCCGTGCTGTCTCCGATGCCGCCTTGACCTCCCCAACCCCAGCCACACACAAGCATTTTGGGAGGTGCCCAGTGAGCTGAGCGAGAGAGGACTTTACGGCTCTGCCACTCGATTTTAACCAAATTCCTATTTATCCTCACCCGAGAGCCTCTCGACAGGCTTTGCCATGAAAGGATAAATCCTCACTCCCTCATGCACCCGCTCGTGTTTTGCATGTCCTTGTTGTCCTGGTGGGGAAACTGAGGCAGAAAACTGTGTGCCTGCTTTGCATGGGCTGCCCAGCGAGGACCGCGCTTGTCTCGCCAGCGATGTAAAGAGGGACAGGTTCAAAGCTACTCTTCAAGCTCAGGGCTTGGCGTTTCCATTTACAGCATGTAATTGGGGAGGAGCTGTGCCTTCTGCTGTGAATCCGGGGTGAGAGGCACCTGAGCTGGGATGGCGTCTCCCCGGCTCAAGGAGGCAGATGCTTTTATGCTTCTCTGCTGTCTCTGACACCAATGCTTCCTGTGGCTGCGGTCATGTCACTTTGTCTGCGCACCGTGTTTTCTCCAGGGGAAGTCGAGGGCTTATAAAATGGGGATGAGAATAGTATTTGCCTTCATTTTGGGAGGAAAATGGCGTTTTTCCACTGTGGTCCTGGCATTCCCAAGGCTTTGGCTCACTGCTATGGCTCTGAAGATGGGAAGGCGCTTTGCAAGGATGCGGGCAGGGCACGGTGATGTCCCCCATCCCAAGCACCGCTCATGCCGGGACGGCGAGCAGGCAGCACGCTGCAGGCAGTCGCCCAGGGCGGCTGGCTCAGGCAGTGGCGAGGCAGCCCGGCTCTCACCCGCTTGCCCACGTTTTCCACCCGATTCCTCCTGCTCGGCTGGTGCATCCTGTCGCCGCTCCGCGCTTCTGCTTCCCTCCCCACTGCGTCTTGCCTGCAGGACAGGCTTGGCCTCGGTTTGTCACCGGGATCTCACGCCAGTGTGCCAACGTGCTGCCCTGGCACGAAAATGGGCCGGGAGAGCGAGGATGGCGCTGGCAGCGCTCGCAGTGCGGTGGCTGTCCAGGGACCGCAGGGGCGAAATCTGCTTGAGCCTCGGCTGGGACCGGTTGGGTCTGTGCCAAACCCGGGCGCAGGGTTTAATCTGCGAAGATCGGAGGTCTGTCTGCTCTGGAGGAGTGAAACCCTGTGTGCTGTTTGCTTCCCAGCCCAGGGAATGGGAGTGTCCGGAGCAAACCATGCCATCCTGCTGCGGTGAGCGAGCTGGGCACCCTCGTCCCTGTCACCTCTACCGGGGCAGTGCTTGTGCCCCGCGTGCCCGGTGCCGGGGAGGTCCTCGGCAGCGGGAGAGCCGCACCTCTTCCCAAAGCCCCTTTGCCGCTGCGTCATCCCGGGAAGCTTTGGCATCCCTTTGCCGTTTATCCGGAGGGTGCGGAGAAGACCAGATCCAAATCTACAGCCAGTTGGTCCCAGCGCCCAGGCAGGTGCTGCTTTTCTTCCCAGGGTCCCAGGAGCTGCCAAGATCCATCGGACACAGCAGACGTGCAGGTGCTGGGTCCCAACATGCCGAGGAGCGACGAGCTTTGCATCCCCTCGGACGCTGGGCAAACGATGTTGGGATCCTTCTGAACGGCTTTGATGAGCACGTAAACTGCCGGATCATGTTTTATAGAGGAAATTACAGCTCTTTATTAGCTCACTCTGAATCATCAGATAATGACTTTTGGGGAAACACCACGTGGGCATTTAATAAATTAGGCAGGCACCAAGGCACAATTAGAGGAAGTGTGTTGGGATGAAGGAGAGGTGGGACAAGTAACATTAATAATTGCGCTCCCCTGTCGACCCTTTCATCCAGAAATGGCGGCAGGTTTTGTAAACAGTAATTAATAGGGCCTCCCAACCTTTGCTGGAAGTTGCTCAGGGTAATTATATCACCACAATCCCAACCTGGAACCTCAAGTGCAGAGAGGAGGTCAGACTCATGGCTGTCTCTGGAGGCGTTTGGCCAAGGTCAGTGTTTTCAGCCTACTCCGGTTTCTGGTCAGATAGAGCCGAAATCTAGAGAAGAGGAGAGATCTTCCTCCCTACCCATCCTGTAAGCTTTGTAGCCCGAGGGAGAGACGGCTGTGCCACGGCTGGACCTGGTGAAGGTCTCCAGGGTGAAGCCCGGTGGTGCACCACGTCCCTGACCACCTCCGTTTGTTGGCCACAAAGATGGGGATTTGCTGGGAGAGCAGGGACGTGGCCGCAGGATCCTGCCTCTCTTCTCTCCCGCTTATTCCCAGAAAGAGGAGCGAATCGTTTGCATCCCCTGCTCCGGCTCACCTGGGTTTGCCTCTCTGCAGAGCAAAGCAGAAGCTCTGAACTCAGCAGCGTTTGGCCTTGTTCCTGCAAGCAAGTAGGTTCATCTGCACCATCAAAGGGGCCTCTCATCTCGGCTCTTGGCTTCCTCGCCCCAGCTGGGAGCTGCCGTGAGCCTACGCAGCGTCAGCAGTGCTCACGTGGGCTCTGAGCTTTCCTCGGCCAGGCTGCCTGTCAGGTGAACTTTGTTCTTCTGGCCACGAGGCACCAACCCACGTGGTGGTGTTTGGTGTTCGGCATCTGGGAGCGTTTCGGACCAAGCGTCTTTGACAGCGTCTGGAGCGAGGGTTGGCCTCTGGGATGCAACGCTGAAGCTCTCCCAAGCCCGTGCTCCTTCGCAGGTGCACGAAGAGTACGGCCATCGCCTGGTGGGACGGGACAATTCGGCAGGAATCTCCGCAGGATGGCCCAAGGGATGCCGCAGGAAGGACAGGGCGCATGGCCCGCCAAGGGCTGATGGGGTGGCAGCTGGACCGTCCCTCTGTCCGCTCTCGGCTTCCTCAGCCAAACCCTTTCACCGCCAAGCTGCCGTGAAGACTTTAAGCCTTGGCTGAAATCGCCTGGTGCAGAGGCCGGTGGTCCAGCCCAGCGTCCCCACACTGAGGACCCCACACCAGCCATCACCTGGGCTCAGCTGCCTGACAGCACGTTCAGCTGCAGTAGCTGCAGTCCTCGTAGACGGGGTGGGAGACCTCTGGAAGAACCCCACTTGTCAGACCCCGTAAATCCGGCCACCTCCAGACCCTGCAGGCTGCAGGTTTGAAGCAAGCACCCATCTCTCTGTTTCCTGGGGTGCCATAAGCTCCAAGCAGGCTCCTGCATGTCACCAGTGGTGTCACCACGTCTCGTCCCACCGGCAGGAGCACCTGGACCAGGAGGCAGAGCCCAACCCTGCTCATGGGGCACCAAGGTACCGGTGACAAGCACGGCAGCATCAACCACGGCCACGTCCCTGTGGCTTGGAGAGGCTCCAAGGAGAGGTGGGGATGGTGCAGGCAGCAGGGCCTGGCAGCTGCCTGACTCAACCGCCCGGCTCTGCCGAGCAGGAGGAGGCTGGTAGGATGACTCAGGAGATGCTGTTTGCGTGGGGGCAGGCGGGAAGCGGTGAGTAGGCAAAGCCAGACAGGAGCTGCAAGCCTGGGTCCGAGGCAGCCAGAAAGACCCGAAGATGAGACATTATTTGTAGTGGGTGAGTTCTCCCATCCTCCATCCCGTGGGACTTCAGCCCTCCCTTCCCTTTGCCCTCACTGCAAAGCCCTTCGGTGGGTAAAACAGTGCAGGTAAGGACGGGTTACCTTGACTTCTGCGAGGCGAGAGTGGCCAGAGCAGCTCCCGTCCGCAGCGGGGCAGCCCCGATCCCCCACGTCGGCCGTCTCTGTGAGCCGGCTGCCTCGGACGCGTTGGGAGATCCCTTTTCCTGCCTGAGCTGGGGCTCTCGGTGCTCAGACCCTGGTGCTCTGGTCCCGGGGAGGCTCTGACGGCTGTGTGCCACCAGCTTCCCTCCCTGCTGCCAGGATCTGCGAAGCCCAGCGCCAGCCCTGGTGCGGGGGTCTCCGGGGCCAGGCGGACCCGATGCCTCCCAGCCTGCCTCCCCCTGCTCCGTAGCCACCCTGGCAGGGTTGCCCCATTTTCCTGCTGGAGCATCCCCGGGGTTGGGATGCTCCTCGCTTGGAGCCGGATTTCTCAAGGGAGTGGACACACAGAGCTCAACCACGAAACCAGCAGGTACCGACCCCTCCTGCACTTCTCAACTGGGACTGTGTCACTGGGAAATACCAGCAGCCTCTGCCCACCACTGCTGGCCTTCAACGCATGCCGTCATCTCCCTCCCGCCCTGACACCGGCCTGACGCCATCGCTCACACACCCCGACTCCCAGCTCCTTGGTTTGATGCCACAGGGAGGACAAGTCTCAACCCAAATCCCCTCAGCATCTCCTCAGCCTTGTCCTGCACATCGGCTCATCGTTTTCCTTGTAAAGCCAGGATGAGGCCGGCTTGGAGCACCACAACCTTGACCCTCCTGTACGTCCATGCCAGACCAGTGGCTTTGGCCGCTTTGCCCCAGGGCTGAGTTTGCCTCCTCCGGTTCCTGCGTGCTGCCACATGCAGTCACACAGGGCTCTGGGAAAAACGACCGTGGGGTTCCTGGGACCGTGGGCTCGCAGCTGGCAAGCAGCTCAACCCATTTTTCTCCCCAGTGGTTTTCCCCGCAGCCCCATAGGGACCCTGGGATTAACGATGCTGCCGTACGGATCATGGGAAAGGTCGCATTGCTCTCGGGGAGCCTTGGGCCAGGCTAACAGCATCTTCAGCAAAATCTGATCCCCCAACTATTGATTACACCGAATGAGCGTGGGAAAAACCCAAACCCTTGACCCCGATGCCTTTGCTTGGGCAGAGCTCCCCGCAGGATGGGGATTGCCTGGCTCAGCAGGACTTTAGGCTCTGTCCTCGGCAGGACAAAGCGGGGCAGACCCTGCCCCACCGCTACGGCGCACCTCACCTTCTGAGCCTGGCAGATCATCTTCCTCACCACCTCCTTGATGTGCGTTTGCCCCTCGATGGGCGGCTGCATGTAGACGGTGCCGCGGGTGACCCCACGGTAGCCGATGGTCTCGGGCCAGCCGAGGTCCAGCTGCGGGATGGAGCGGTCGGACCTCTGGGGCCAGTACTCCAGGGAGGGGGCCACGTCCTGCTCGTCCCCTTGGCTGTTGTGATCACCTTCGCTCTCCCCCATGCTGCTGCCGTGGCGTGGGATGTACTCGGAGCCGGGGTCGTACGTCTCCAATGTGTCCAGGATCTTCTTTAGCTCTAGCTCGGAGAGGAAGTCCCTGATGTTCTCCTTCTTCAGGACCTCATAGAAGGCATCGGGGCCGCGGGAGGCCAGTGCCTCCAGGGCCAGGCGTTGCTCCTCGCTGTAGAAGAACTCAGGCTTGGACTCACTGGACCTCCAGTTGACGTGGCTGTCATCCAGGCACTGCACCTGGGAGAAAGCCATGGTGACCGCCCGTGCCGGTACCCTCTCCGACGGGAGCTCTGTGCCCCCAGCGAGCGCTGGATGTCGACAATAAATAAGGAATTAATTATTCTTTAAATACACAATTTGCTTTGCTTCACCCTTCCCTGGCTCGACGCACAGCTGGGGAAACACGCCGCTCCTTCCTCCGCCGGCTCCTGCCGCGCCGGAGCTCCTCTCCGCCAGGGAGGAGGATTCGGTTTCTTGCTTGCTCCCGGCTCTGCGCAGCGAGAGGGCTCCGGGCGAGGAAAACCTGGAGCTTCCCACGGTCGGTCAGGGCTGTGCGGCGGGGCAGAGACGGCCCCGGGCGCACGTGCACTGCTGGGAAGGTCCTCTACCCCCTGGTCCACGCTCTTCTCATCCTCCGCTCTTTCAAGACAACAGTACCGGATAAAATAAAAAGTGTAAAACAAAAGAACAAAACCCCGGCTTAATAAAAGGCAGAGAAAAGCAGGACTTCTTGGCCCAAATGCCGTCCGTGGTTATCGTTCCTGGAGAACTGGGTCAGCCGGTGGGTTTTGCGGCAGCGAACGTCTCCGTCAACCTCTTGTGCATCGCCCTGGCTGGCAGGTCGATTATTTCGGGCTCCTGCCAGCGTGCAGTGCCGGGGCCGGACAGGTAAGAGCAAGAAGTGAAAAGAGGAAAAGCAAAAGGGTGATTCATGGCTCCGCCCTGCCCCACCTGCAGTCACATGCTGCCTTCACACATTCCCGGCCCTGCCCGCACATTAACCCTTTCGCCTGATGCTGCCCTCGCACCTCCGTCCCCCGGGACCGTGCGGGTGGTCGGTGGGCGGCTGGGGAGGGGTTTGGGTGTTTGTTATGAAACAAAGAAAAAAGCGTCTCTCCCTTGAGATCTCCCCCTCTCCCGGTGTGCCGGCTGGTAAAAGTCAATATATTCCAGGAAAGCGGCTCTGGCTCGTGGTTAACCCCTCCTGCGCCGAGCGCAAGGAGCCCCGTGCTAGCACAGGAGCCCGGAGCCCAGGCGGGTCCTGCAGG